GAAGTCACGTTAACATTTTTGCTCAGGCTGGCATCTAATTCAGATCCTCCCAATATCTGCCTTTCAAGTAGCTAGCATTACAGGCATGTACCACCTAGGTAAGCTCAGCTATATTACTACAACGTAATGCTATAAGAAGCAGACTTTTGGAAAGAGCAGAACTATGTTTAAGATTAATTCTAGATTTCAAATGGGAATTTCAGTTTGATTAGTCAACTCCTAGGACTAGAAGTAAAGTCATAGAATAGCAATAAAACCATGTTGTAAAACCAAATTTTGAGTAGTCTAAATTTGTTACTTGTGAAACAGAAAATTGAATTATAAGAATAACAAAGGAAAGATAATTCCTTTCTAAGGTCTTCATGTGTGTTACTCTACTTCTGAATAATAGAAAGGACTTGAGAGATATCTAAGCATTATTTCAGAGGCCTGAAACCTATCAATTAAATTGTTATTTACAAATGAGTCATACTTTTGCTATGTGTTTTAATTTTTTTCTCTACATAGAAAATATATAATTCAGAGCTAAGAAAGTGGCTCAGTGGTAGAGTGTTTGCCTTGCATGCATAAGGCACTGGGTTCAATTCCTCAGCACAACAAAAGCAGAAAAAGCCAGAAGTGGTGCTATGGCTCAAGTGGTTAGAGCGCTTGCCTTGAGCTGAAGAGCTGAGGGACAGTGCCCAGCCCCAGAGTTCAGATCCCACGACCCACAAAAAAACTAAAAAAGAAAAAAGAAACTATATCCTTAAGATATATAGCAGGTATAGAAGTCAGAGTAAATTCAGAATGTAATGTAAACTTTAAAATATTTGTCATTTTGACTTTTAAATTTGTTGTTTAAGATTTTTTTTTCAACCAGCAACAATACTTTAGAATTTTCACCAAATATTTCCTTATGGTCTGATTATAGATAGATAAGAATTTACTTATAATAATGATTAAAGAAAGCTTAGACAAATTTTTGAAAGACCTTTAATATTCTGTTCTCAAGTTAAATATTTTTTCTTTGTGTATATATCAAACATGAATTGGTAAATTCCTTAAATATTTTTTTCCCATTTCACAGCCTGAGAGCTGCCCCTAGCTTTTTTGCTCAAAGCTAGAGTTCTACTACTTTGAGCCACAGCTCCACTTAAGGTTTTCAGGAGGTTAATTGGGAATAAGAGCCCCATGGCCTTTCTTGCCTGAACTGACTTTGAACTGCAATCTCAGATCTCAGTCTCCTGAGTAGCTAGGATTGCAGGTGTGAGCCACTAGCACCCAGCTTTTTTAATCACAGTAGCAATAACCATATGCTTAAATAGGTTTTAGATTCTAAATAAAACTTCCTTTTATATGTAAAAGAAAAATCCCAAGCAACAACTCCTTAACAATTTACTTTTGTTTAAGGTTTTACTTAAATCCTTAGTTAAGAGAAAAATGAAGAATTTTATCCATATTTTTTTCCCACAAAAATTGCTTGGAAACATTTTACTACTCAGTAGATTGTTTTGTTTAGCTATAAAAGCACCTCAGTGACTTAGTTTCAATTTGTTGAAATAATAAATTTGGATAGATTTGATGTCTGGTGATGATCTTGATAGGTTTACTTAGTTAATTTTGTTATTGTTATTGTGTATTTTCATAGACTTGTCAAGTTCTCCCTCCCTCCCTTCCTCCCTTCCTCCCTCCCTTGCTCGCTTGCTCGCTTGCTTGCTTGCTTGCTTGCTTCCTTCCTTCCTTCCTTCTTCTCCTCCCTCCTTCCTTCCTTCCCTCTCTTCCTCCTTCACTTGCTCTCTCCCTCCATTCACAATATAGACTAGGCACAGAGGTTGGGCTAAGGTATATATGGGGGAAGTTTGCTTTGCCTTTGTGAATTTACAGTCATAATATGAACCCAGTCTGTGGTAAACACCAGAAGGTCATAGCTTGCTTTTTAAAACAATGTTTGGATGTGGGCAGTGTTTTCAAATTCCAGCTTTAATACTTATTAATCATATAAGTTGATAAATTAGAGAAAATGATAAATTAGAGAATTGAAGGGGAAGTATTAAGTTATACAGGATAAAATGAGGAGTGTACATGAAAATGGCTTTTATCATATGTTTATTGTACTTAAATGTTAACTGTAATTAATAAGGCTTTTTCTCTGATTTCATTGGATATTTGAGTTTGATGATCCTTTCTGGTCTGTAAAGGACTTCCTTTTCAATAATTTTTGACATAATTTATAGGATTGTGTTTCTAACTATAACTGATCATCTCTGTTTTGCTATCCTTTCCTAAATTAGAGTCTCTTCTTAGAGACTATAGATGCATAAAAAATGACTTTCTGACAGATTTCTTAGATTTAAGATTTTCTGAATTTAGAAATTCATTTTCTTTTTTCTTTTGTTGTGTTCACAATAGAAGTTTTCTGTTTACCTTAATCATCTGCTTTTGTTGTGTTAGCTACAATTTTCATAGTATTTATGACTGGTAACTACTTGGTTGTGGGTAAGCAAGGAGGTCATATTGTTTTGATAAAAAACAAAATATACATGAGTGAGGACTTTAGAGAGAAAACAAATGAGATAAATGAGTTCTTTGGATTGGGGGAAAAATAATCTAGAATTTTTGTACTCTTGGATATAGCTGAAATCTTTTCTTCCATAAATGAAGACTATGTCCTATAAAAATTATTCATACAAGGACTGTGAATGGTATTGTAGAGCATTTGTCCAGTCACTGTATGGTCCTGAATTGAATTCCAGTACTACTCCTTCCTACCTCTCCCCCAAAAATAACTAAAAAAATAAGTACTTATTTTCTTTGAGTTTGCCGTTCTCGCTTAGTCTTTCTTATTACTCATTCCTCCTATGCCTTCTCTGTGCTTGAAATTTAATTGATTTTGTTATTTACATATATAGGATGGAAAATGATGAACCTGGTTTATTTTTTGTTATGGTTTTTATTAAGAATGTAATTCATACATATTAACAGAAAATTCCTAAGTAGTTAGATGTTATTTTTCATTGCTATGACAAAATGCTACTAATATGAATGCAGTAGAGGAAAAGTTTAGTTTGGCTCACAGATTTCAGAGGTTTTAGTCCACAATTGGTTGGCTCCATTGCTTTTGACCCTATTATGAGACAGGACGTGTGTGGTGCAAAGCTGCTTACATAAAGGTGGCCAGGATGCAGTGAGAGAGGAGGTGTTGAATCCCAATATACCCTTCAACAAAAACAACGTTTCCATCCACTACCATCAGCCAGGAACCAAACCTTCAACACATGAGCTTTTTCGAACATTTAGTAAACTGTTACAGTTGCCTTACCTTAGAAGAAGTGCAAGATAATTTTTTAAAAAATGCAATTTGGAATAACTGAATATCAGAATACTTAGAATAAGAATTAAAGGGTAAACAATTAATCTGTTAAAATATAAGTAGCTATAGCTTCTGATTTACAGAAAATGAAAAACTTATCAGAAAAATATCATACAAAAATGACTGACACAAAATGTATGCATATTATGCTGAGTCTTAAGATTCTTAATATTTAAAGCATGCTTAAAATCAAAACAGTAAATTCCACTCATAGAAGACAATAAAAATTGTTTGAGAAACACCAAGTCTTCGTAATCTTACTGTCAAGCCAATGGAAAATAAAATTTTATTCACTTTGGTTCAGTAATATCATAGCAAGGATATCTATTGTTAATGAAGACCTTGGGAAAATGACTCATTTTTTAATATATACATATTTATATATTATTTTTACATATATACATATTTCTAGAATATAATTAGTGAAAACATCACAAGTTTTTTATTTCTATTTTTATTTATTTATTTTTTTGTTGGTCGTGGGGCTTCAACTAAGCTTGGGCGCTGTCCCTGCGCTCTTCAGCTCAAGGCTAGCGCTCTACCACTTGAGCTACAGGGCCACTTCTAGCTTTCTAGTGGTTTATTGGAGATAAGAGTCTCACGGATGTTCCTGCTAGCTTTGAACCACAATCCTCAGATTTCAGCCTCCTGAGTAGCTAGGACTATAGGTGTGAGTCACCAGTGCCCGGTTTATTTTTATTTTTACTTATTTTTATTTTATTTTATTTTTTTTGTCCATCATGGTGCCTGAACTCTGGGCCTAAGGTCTGTCCCTCAGCTCTTCTGCTCAAGACTAGCACTTTACCACTTGAGCCATGGTGCCGCTTCTGGCTTTTTCTGCTTATATGGTGCTGAATTGAACCTATGGCCTCCTGCATGCAAGGCAAGCACTCTACCACTGAGCCACCTTTCCAGTCCCAAGTTTTATTTTTTTAATACATGTTTTAGTCATTGATATGTTAGAGACACCGTAATTCTGTAGTTTTGGACAAGGCTGTGGTGTTAAACAACTGAGAACATAATTTTTTACTAATAAGAAATTGGTTATGTAAATTGTAATAATTATGTAGTGCAGTACTAGAGATTTTATAACACAAAATTTTCTTGTACGAGAAGGAAAATACTCATGATAGTTTAATGTCGATCAGTATGTTTAGCATGAAGCTTCAGCATATTGAAAACATGTACTTCAAATGTCCACAAGACTAGAAAGGTATGAATAATATAGTGAAATGTTAACAGTGGTATTTCTGCGTAATTCAGTTATGACTAATTTTAATTTGCTGCATCATTTCTCTTTTGAAAGTTGCTATTGTGAATGTTGGTTACATGGGAGTAAAACAAAAGTACAATAAATCTTTTTAACTTGCAGTTCACTCTTGTGCAAATTTTACTGATAGTAAATGTGATTTAATGTAAAAATAAAGGTTATAAATGAAGTTCAGATTTTGAAAGAAATCCTTTAAATGGAAATTTATTGCCACCTTTTTGCTCTTTTGCATAAGCTTACCAAGGTGCAGTAACAGCCCCTGGAGCCTGCGGAAAATGTGTTAATGTCTGTAATGCTCACTTAATCATTTTATCTTTTGGATTCACAGTAAAAGAAGGAAAATTTATTTATCATTTTTTCCTGTATCTTTTCATCTACCAGGCAGTTACTTTTGGTGACACTGACCAGTTTCTACAATGTACCATTCTTTATCTGAAACTAGACATCCTCTTCAGTCAGAAGAACAAGAAGTAGGCATTGATCCTTTATCCAGTTATTTGAATAAGTCTAATGGTGAGTATTGTTTGTAGATATTTTTTTGCATGTGCTAAGAAACCTAATAGATGGACTCCCTTTATTTATCTCTGCCAACATTGTGGGTGTAATTCTTTCTGAAGTAGCAGAGCAACTTTAAGAACATTAACCTGTGTATAGCGTACTCTTGACACTAATCAATATCACAGAAATGCAACTCTGAGTTTCAGACAGAAGCATTAGCCAAATGTTTAATAGACAGTTACCTTTTAAAAAGTCAAACTAGACTTATGCCTAAGAATGTTGAAATGCAAAGGGCACTGTATCACATACATTTCAAGAAATTTTAAGCATTGGGTATTGATTTCTGTGGGATACTTTTGTTATTTCTGTAACAAATTCAGATTCCTTCTATGACAAAAATTTCCTGAGTATCTCTATCTTCCCACCCTACCTTCTTCTCTTCATTTTTCTCATTCCTTTCCTTTCTTTTTTCTTCTTTCTTCATTTTCCTTTGTAAGTAATTGAAGCTAGTGTTTACTTAAAAAATCTACATGTAGAAATTAAGTTATAGGCTGGAAAATAGAGTATATTCAGCTTCTGTTCTATTAAAATTTAACAAATGTGCATGTATCAGAATTCTGCATTATTTTGTAAGTACTTAGTGATATTTATAATATACTTTCTTAGAAGGAAGCCATGCTACAGAAATCTTGGAGGCCTTATTTTCATTATTGAGTAATTTTATAAACTTCATTTACTCACTTAACTTGTACTTTTTCATTCATGAAATGTGTTTGTCTATATTGTAAGATTTTTTAAACCAATAATGTGTGTTTTTGTGCCTCAAATTATTTTGGGTTTTATATTGAGATCAGAGTTTGCCATTAACTCATATTTTGAGAATTAAAACAAAATTTACTTCTAAAATGATATTTATTTAAAATAAACTTTTTATAGATTGTGTGTATGCACCTGTGTGCATGTGCATGTGGTGTGTGTGTGTGTACATCTTTATTACCTTCTACACCATACAAATGATATTGGTGTTGTAATGAAAGTAGAATTTGGCACATAAAGTTGTTTTGTGAGTTTATTGTTTTATTTTTTCCTCTAAAAGCAGACTTCTCTTTGATAATATGAAAATTATGGTAATTTTAATTCCAGTATTTTAGTATTTCAGTAGAAATCCTGAAAGCTTTCTTTTAAATGTAATATCTATAAGAAGTACTTACAATTAAGTCATATCACATAGTAAACACTTCTATAAGTTTTAAAAATGAGCATATATTCGTTACAAGTATATAAATGATTTGAACAACCTTTTTCATATTATTTCTGATTTCTATGTTTATTTGAGAACATAGTTTTCTTTTATGTTTTAACTGTATATTTTTCTTTTGTCTATTTGTCTTTTATCTATTTTATCTATTTAATTTATTTTAACCTTGTTCAAAACCAGTTTAAATTAATATTCTTTTATTGTTTGAAGGGATCAATAGTTACCTTTTCTAAAAAGGATTTTCATTTATATCCTAGTCTTAACATTTCTGTGACATACTAAGTTATTAGGATTGAATTGATGTTTAAAAGTGCCATTAATTCATTTACCCCAAATGTTCATTAACAATGTAAATGTATGCTGATGCTCTATGAGACAAGGAAGTGACTAATGACTCTTCCAACTAACAACACTTAAAATGAATAGAAACTTTAGATAGCTAATCTTGAAGTAATCAAGACCTTCATTCAGCTTGGCATCTCTGTATGCTCTAAAACAGCTGTCAACTGTTAAAAATATATACAAAACACAGATATGCACACGCACATGAGAAAGAAAGATATGTAAATATCTTGCTCTTCATAGCTGTAGAGGTTACCAACCATACTAGGTTTTGTGCATTGTATATGTAAATACTTTATATAAAGCATCTACTTCATCTTATTTTTCTTTTTTCTAAAAAATGTATATTGCATTTAATCATATTTAGTGTATTTCTTTATTTTAATATATGTCTTCCATGGTATTTCTTCTTGTATTTCGAGTTCTTTAAACATTTCTTCCATAGCTGAGCAAATTTGGGGCTATTTATTTATTTCTGAATAAACATTGAGCTTAGAGCTATAATTTGTCTACATAGAAACCTTGTATAATTTTTTAAAATCCTGTTATAGATGCAATTAGTAAAAAAAAGTTTCAATTTCTCAATCGAATTTAGCATTCTAAAGAATCAGAACTGTTTAGTGATTTTGAGAATTCCTGAATTAGTATTATAACCACAAAATAAGAATACAAAGGCAAAAATGTTTATTATATTTAATATTGAGTAGTTGAAGAGAGAAAGAAAAAACAACTATTACTACATAGCAAAACCTAAGGGGATATTTTCCATTTCAACTTGACTTTCAACCTCTTGAAGTTCTTCTTTAAGTAGAGAACAACATATAAAGTACAATATTTTCTCTGTGCCCTCTAAGTTTATGCGTATAAATTAATTTCTTAAATTCCAAGGCTTTTGATGATAAGGTAAAACAAAAAAGAATTCTTTTAGATTTCATGACTATTCTTAACCTGTGACTTTTATTGGTCAATTTGATAAAAGATGGTTATTTTATTTTTAACTGAAAACAACGATATTAAGATCCAGGGAAATGTAGCCTATTAAGTAATATTACTGAAATGCCTAGATGTTTATGCAAGCCTATAAGAGATTAGACTTGTTTATGATAAAAGTACATTTTCCTCTATTGGGTCTCTTTTGAGAGTATCATTTAGTAAGTTATTTAGGTTTGATTGTATATGCCTCTTCTTATTTAGAGCTTTTATAATTGCCAAACAATTATTTAATGTATCTTTACTTTTCTATACAATGTTTCTCAAAGCTCCATATCTTCATGTATAAAATATTTAGTAACCTAGTTTATAAAAACAAGATGTTCAAAATCATCCCTGCTCTATAATTTCTTTCCATAAGGTTATTTGTTTTTTAAAAAAATGTTTCACTATTCTCAGACATAGAAGGTAGTACCATGGCTTTATTGATGAGGAAATTAGTAATAATTAAAATTGCTGCCTGAAGTTGATACAATGAAAATTTTGTTTTCATATTGGGGTATTTAGATGGTCCTTTCTACTCTGCCCTCCCATATAATAAAATTGGATTTAGATTTAGTTAAGATATAAAATTTTTTCTGCTGGAGATATTTAAATATTTAACTTAGGCATTTAAAAATTCTTCCCTCGTCTAATTGAAGCCTTTTAGAATGGAAAGTTTTACTCCCTTTCTTTCCTGATTTAAAGATCTTTTGTAGCTTACCATGTAACTAAGGATAAAGTCCACTTTCATGTCTGTCTTGCTTGTCTTATACAGATAAGCAATTTCTGTACTCTACACCTATACTATACCATTAACTGATATGTTTGTAATTCCTTTACAGAACCCTACAGATTTTGAGATCCTAGTTTAGATAGATGCAACATTAATGAGAGCAGGAACCTTGTGGGAGCCATTTCTATAGCTAGGACCTGACAAAGGAGCACTTCTCAATGAGTAACAATTGAATGAGCTGAACTTCAGTTTGAGCATCTTCACTTATATCAGTCACTAATTGCTTAATGTATCTTCCTCTTCTGGTCATAATTTGTAATGCATGGCATTAATTTTATTGGTCATTGTCTAATGGCCCAGCCAGTCCAGAGCCTGAGTAGCATGTGGGGCTTAACTGTTCCTTTACCAAATATGTAAAAGTAAGTGAACAGAACCTTCCAGGTAGGAAAAGATGTTGGTGATAATGGCAAGTAGTTAGCTTATGTCACTGGCCCTCTGCTCACAACTAGAAAGCACAGAGAAGCAGGTACCATCAAAGCATCCTTGGAGAAGGTATTCCTAGTTCAAGGCCATCCTGTACTGCTGGAAAAGTATAAATATTAGCTAAACACAAGTCCAGATATCCAACTTTCTGGTGCTAGCCACCACCTGCAAGAGACAGTGGGTAAGGCCCCAGGGGCTAAAAATCAAATGGGCTGCAATTGGCTTGTGGGTCCTTGAAAGGTTTTTTGTGTTTTGATTTGAACCTGCCTCATACCGCAGCTCATATGCACACCTCATATGCACACATGACAGTTGACATTACAAAGGGCCAAGCTGGGCACTGTATTCTCAGCTACCACAAGAGAAGGAAACAGGAATGGCATGGCCACTTCTATTTTGCTGATCATTCACACCCAATTCCCTGTATTGAGAAACATTCTCAGTAAATATATTTGTGGATCTCACTGCCAAATCTTACTTAGGAGCCTTAACAGCACAGGACCTGGGCTTACAAGGTTATAGGATGGCCAACTTGGATCTTGAGCAGATGCTATCTTCAACTGGTCTCCACAGAGCCCATAAGGGGAGGTACCATCTGCCAGAAGCCACAGACTCCACTCTAGTGAGTCTGTTTGGCATCTCCAGGGGGCTCACCAAAAAAATCCTGTGTCTGTGCTGCCAAATGGCTTCTGGGGAATGTTGGAACCCTCCAGAAGCATGAGGACTTCTTCTTCTCAGTGTAGATGCTGTTAGATTTTAATTAGGCTATAGAAAAGAGACTACTCTGTGGTCTTCAGGCAGGAAAGAGAAGTTCATCCAGAACCACTGCCCCCAGAGCAGGTTGGAGACAGGTATGGCAAAAGCGATGAGCAGCTGCCCTGCTGGGGTTCGAGTAAAGAAAGGGCAGGAGAAGGTGTGGCCAGGTGAGTGGAAGATGTGGCCATGCCAGATGGGGACCTGACCTCATAGTCTGGGAACTTCCCATAGTCTGAAGGAGGGGTGATGGGACTGTCCAGGATGTCACCTCAGAGAAGGGGAAGGTAACTGCTTCCAGGTATGCAAGTTACCTAGGTAACACAGGTACTGGGTGGAGACTTAAACAGGAGAGGAGAAGGAATGTCTCTGTGCAGATTCACACAGGAGTCTTCCCAGGTGGATCTTACATTGTGGTCTTTCCGGGCTTTTTGGATGGATCTTTTTTTTTTTTTTTGGGTCCGGTCGTGGGGC